ACACATAAATAGAAAAAAGTTGTAATAAAAATATTAATAAAGAAATTAATCACAAAACAGCACAAACTTCCCTCTACTGTGAGAAGTGAGAGGAAGGACGTCTGGCTGGTTAAATAAGGAATGCATTGTAATCAAAATATAATTCACTTGGTATTGTCATAAAAACACACCTAAAACAAGTGGTTCATAAGTACACACAAAAAAATAATGCTGATATTAGTTCATCCACTCCTTTTTAACACTTTAAAGTGAAACACAACCATATGTACTGTCTGATACTTATTATGCTTAAAGGCATATATAATTATCAAGAACAATAAACATAAAAAGCTCACAAACATTTGTGTTTTAAATATTTCAGACCAGTTTAGACTAATCAAACATTAGATCAATAAAAAAATACACTTACAAATTACCTGTGCACTTGTGTATATGTATACATATATACAGATGTATGTAGGTATGTAAGTATGCAAGTATATAGGTAGGTTGGAGCCTTAAGCAACCCGTTCCCGTATGACTGGCCTTGGATCTGCACCAGAGCCAAGCAGTGGGTTTGTGACATCCTGGTCATTAGAGTCCATGTGTCGCCCAGCTTCATTATTTTGCTGAAACTCAGCTGTACTACTGATGGTTGCCACTGGAGATGTTACTGTAAAGAAACAGAAAAGAACAATAATAGTACCAAATAACAATAATAATAATAATAACAATAATAAAAAATAATAAATAAATAAATAAATAATAATAATGATAATAATAATAACTATTATCATTATTTTAGGTGTACAGATAGGCTATTGTGTCCAATTAAATTGAAGCTGTCTGTTTCCTTCTGAAATTTTTAAGTTAGGTTAGTAAGACTGCCATCTGACATGGTTATCACTATACACCACAGAAAAAAAAAAAAATAGAGAATTACAAAATGCTGAAAGACACAGAAAGAGACTTACTTATTTGTTCATTACATGAAATTGAAAAATCAATTTTCAGTAGTAAAAATGAATAGAGTATATATATATTAATAAAAAGATTTTTTTGTGCATAAAACTATGTAATGAGAACTGAGCTGTAACAAGACATGGGGTCCCAGACTGAAGTGTGACAGGAAAATTAACCCATTTGCCTCGGATTTATGTTCTGTCCTCTGTAGTTTTTGGTGAATTTTGTTACATACAGATGGCTCCACATGTACTCAGCCGACAAGGAGTCTATCAGTAGGCCCTAGTTACCGACCCTGATTTTCCCATTCATTGAATTGGCGGGAAAATTAATAGCATTGCTATCGATACTGTTATTATTGTTACTGATGTTGTGATTATTAAATAACCATTAGAATATTTTAGACAATGAAATGATACAAAAATCCCTTTCCTAAAGTGAAGGAAAAGGGTAAACAGGTGAAATAGGTACTTCTTGATAACTGGCTATTTGGTGATTAAGGACTTGTGGAGCCATCTATGTGTAAATACAATAAATAAAAGTGTCTCAAAGTGGGCATGGCATCTATTCTTGCCACGTGTGGAGAATGGGTTAATAGTCACCAAACAAGTAAATAAATAAATGAATGCCATATATCATAAGAGAGGTATATGAAAGAAAAGCAGAACCATATTCAAACGATTCATTCAGCAAAGTAAGCTTCCTTAGCAGTGGTAATGAAAGGTGATAAAGGTGAATGGGTGTTTAACTACTCGTTACAAGAAACCTTAATGATATAAAGGGAAAAAGAAGGAGGTACAATTAGGAGAAGAAAGTACAAACAATTAAATAACAATACTAATAGTAAACAAGCTTTTTCATCTTCAGGAAAGGTGTACATTTCAAATGCATAAGTCAGCAGACCATCTAAGAGACTTGTAATAGCACCTTGATTAGAAACAAATTGTTGGGAGGCATTATGTTTCCAAAAATCTAAAAAGCTTAACTATGTTATGAATTCCCAGATCTGGACATACAGTATTTTACAGTACTGGAAGTAGGGTATGGGAACTAGCTGAAAATAATACCAGTGGTAAAAGCAGCATTACTGACAGTGCTGACAGTACCTTTCCTAAATAAAATTAACAGAATTCTAAAGTATATGTGACACCTATTGTAATGTCTGAAGTTGTAATACATCATAACTGGAAAGAAACATTTTGGGTAAAAGTATGTATGTATGTATATATACATATATATATATATATATATATATATATATATATATATATATATATATATATATATATATATATATGTATGTATGTATATATACACATATATACATACACACACATGCACACACGTATATATGTGTATATGAGTGTGTGTGTGTGTGTGTGTGTGTGTGTGTGTGTGTGTGTGTGTGTGTGTGTGTGTGTGTGTGTGTGTGTGTGTGTGTGTGTGTGTGTGTGTGTGTATATAAACAAACATACATACATATAAATAAAGCTGTTACTAAAAACTTCACTACTGCCTACCCTACCTCAACCCAGTAACATTGTGTTATATTAAAAAAAAAAAAAAAAAAAGATGATAATACCACGCATATTCAAAATATAACGATAGGCTGGGGCTTGGGGGCAAATACCCAGGTAAGGAAGTTTTTTTTGTTAAAAAAGGCAATGTTTGTGGATTTCCAAAATTGTTAGTGATTAAAACAAGTAAACGTACCAGACATCAAAGGGGATATAGTATTATGATAAAGCATTGTGGCAAAAAGGGCAAAAATTAGTTAACGATTAGGATAAGAGGACAGAAGAAGGGCATGAAGAAGAGGTGGAAAAGGAAAGGAGGAGAAGAAAAGAAAATTAGCTGAGGTGAGGGCTGAGGACCAAGGCAGGGCCTCAGTATGTCTCCTAATTCCCCCCACAACAACAACAAGCAAGGGATTGGGGGGGAGGAAACTGGATACAAATATTGTGATATTAGTGCTACTTTTACTGGTGGTACTAACCAATATATAGTTAAGAAAAAAGGTTTATAATTCTTTAAAATCATGTAGAACATATCATTCATCACATTCATTACATATCTAATACATCTACTTATAGTTTACTACTTATTTCTGTTATTCCATTATAACTGGCATCTGGTTTATCCCTATGTCATCATCAATTACTTATGGATATTCTCTATTTCTTTCTCTTTTTTATTACAACTGGCTGTTGGCTTTATCATTATGTGATCATCCACGTTATATCACATATCTAAAATAATATCTAATATATATCTAACCAAGTCACTTTTTTCAGGAATTAAAATTTATACTACTTTTCAAGGGATATTTACACAGTAGAGAAACTTTAGTATATCAGGTTTTATGCAATAAATTTTGTTAAGTACAAAATAAAGGATATAAAAATCAGTATGAAGAATATATGAAAAACAACGTGTATTTTTGTTTCTATAGTGAATATCTACATTCATCTTTAATTATCAATTTCATCCGTAATTCATATTATCTCTTAACCCATTACCATGGGACAGCATGTACGTACATGCCATTCTCACTGTGAATTTAGTTTAATTAATAACTGTGTTTACACATAGATAGTTCCACAAGTGCTTAGTTACAAAGTCAGTTACAAATCCTACTAATCTACTGTGTTTATTCTTTTCCTTGATTTTCAGAAGTGTTCTATATTTTGCTATTAGCATTCATGATAACATTATAATAATCATAATGTCAATAATGATAATGCTGGCATTAGAACAGAAAAAGAATCAATGAATTAATCAATCACAAAAGAATTAAGGAAAGGGGAATGTATCTAAGATCATATAGGCTTGCTAATTTTCTCCTTGTTGGCTTAGCACTTGTGGAGCCATCTATTTGTAAACATATTTCACAAAAGAAAATTACTGGGGTCATTACAAGTTCCTAGAGGCAATGCATTAAGGTATAGCCTCTCATAGTTTGCAATGAGTTAAAGGCAGTTTCATGCATGGATTAATTCTCCTATGAACGATAGACCCCCAAATATGCTTCCTTCGCATGGTAATAGGCTGTTACGATGGGTATTTTTTCTAGAATATTTCTTTCATTTTTGTATATGTTTGTTCTAATGAATCCTACAAAATTTTGTCGCCACATTTTTATTTATTGAAAATTTTCATCTGTGTCATTAGTGGCATATTCAAAACATAATGACAAAAAAACTATAGCTCAAAAGAAGCTCAATTCTATGGTTTATGATTAAAATAATAATACCAGTCTCAACCAGGAACATGTTGACTTATCATCAGACAATTCCCTTGTGGAATATAAACCAATAACTTATATGATCAGTCTAAGGACAAATTCTGGTTTCTTATCTTGTCTCTATTGTTTTCCTTGTAAACTAATATCATACACTTGCTTATACAATATGATTTTTGAAGCATTGGAAATCCCTTTCCTTCTCCATATACAAAAGCCAGGAAATCTATTAAATGGAGATGATCTAGATGACCATGATGTGTCATAGAGAAGTCTTTCCTGAAGTTAAAATAACATATATATATATATAATTATATATATATATATATATATATATATATATATATATATATATATATATAATTATATATATATATATATATATATATATATATATATATATATATATATATATATATATATATATATATATATATATACATATACACAGGTTTCGTAAGGAAGTGCTATATAACATCAAAGGTCATATGAAGATATGGTAAAGTATAATAGCAAGAAGGGTTAGGAATGAATTAATGATTAGAGGAAAGTTACTATATATATTATGCATGTTATATATGTGTGTGTGTGTGTGTGTGTGTGTGTGTGTGTGTGTGTGTGTGTGTGTGTGTGTGTGTGTGTGTGTGTGTGTGTGTGTGTGTGTGTGTGTGTGTGTGTGTGTGTGTGTGTATTATATATATATATACACAGTAAGTCCCCAACTTAAGAACATAATGGGGACTGAGAGGCTGTTTGTAAGTCGAGTTGTTTGTATGTCAAAAGTCGGGTCTCCATTACCTTTTTTCCTATTGTTCTA